ATACAGATATTAAACACATCAGATTGTGGTTCAGACCAGATAGTAAACACATCAGACTGTCCGCCTTCAGAGATGGTTCAGACATACAGATAGTAAACACATCTGATTGTCCGCCTTCAGAGATGGTTCAGGCAAACAGGTAAAGAAAACACATCTGTCTCCCTTCAGAGAAGGTTCAGACATACAGATAGTAAACACATCAGATCGCTCTGAGTTGGTTCAGGCATAGAGATTGTCTACTTTCAGAGGTTGTTTTGGACATACAGATAATTAAAACACACCCGATTGCCCATTTTCAGACAGACAGACTGACTGACTGAGTTTAGTTTTACGCTTTTAGCAATATTCCAGCAATATCACGGGGGGGACACCAGGAATGGGCTTAACACATTGTGCCCATGTGGGGAATCGAACCGGTCTTCGGGCGCACTGATCGAGCCAAGCCCATTTTCAGAGATGGTTCAGGCATACAGATAGTGAACTCACCTGATCATCTGCAATTACATTTGTCCAAATGTACAGAGAGTAACCACACCTGATTGTCAGCTGTCGGTCCCATCAGATAGGTAGCAAACTCACCTGACCAACTGCATCCCCCAGAGTCCAAACATACAGCAGGTAAATGCTCCTGATCTTCTGGAATCTCAGTATTTCCCACTGTGCAGGTAGGAGTTCTCACAAACAAATCAGTTCTTACAAAAGAAACTAATACCAATTAAGTCTTAAAACTGTTTATTTTGGATGCATTTAAAATACCATTTTGTTGTACTGATCCACTTTACACTTCAAGAACGCCGAACACAGAATCTTATCAATCGTTATATGTTTTTATCCAAATCAAGAATTCATTTCCCCAAGGACTTGGTTAACAGCAATCAATCAATGTAAATACACAAAGGTGTTTGAAAAGTTATCTGAAAAAATAAATATGCTGAAGAATATTCGGCATGATGTATGTTAGTTCTTTGGTAATATTGGAACGTTCATAAATGTGTTTCACCATTGCTTGTTTCCCAAGATTAGTCATGTAATAATTACTGATTCTACCTAAGTGGGTGTATACAATTTGAAATATGAACAGTGCTATTTAAATGGAAAATACATAGGTACAAGATGGTAGCAGGGCACACTATTTTAAAAAGACACAAAAATGGAGGAAAGAGATTTTGTCTGTTGTTTAAAAGCTGAGCAAAGTGTTTACAATAAGTTTGCACAGAAAATCTTTAAAGCATCACTTTCTGTAATGGTTTTGCACATAAATGTTATGATCTGCATAAAAAATTATGGCCAAGGTTTAAGAGCCGAAGAGATAATTTCTCAAACAAAACCTGCAATATTTGAAAACAAAAATCTCATCTTTACTAATAGAAGATTTGTATGATGAAATATCTCACAATGACACTTTGTCACAAGCAGTTTTAATGAAAGTACTATTTCAGATGGGTTCTTTTAACTAACCTGACCACCTAAGACTGTTAAGATATGCAACCATATTGATAGTTTTCCTAAAACAGCCTTCACTCAGAGGTTGCTAAATGTTTAATTATTGACGTGATACAAACAGATTCCAGAAGGTGATACTTTTTGAGAGTTTTCTGAGCAAGTTGTGGAGTGTTCATGTTTGATACAGATGTTTACTGACCCTGAAGAGAAGTAAATTTTATGAATGAAATGATGATTATTTTCGCCCATTGGATATCATTTCATAACATCTAGTCTCCTACTATACATTGTATAACACTGCACAGTAACAGAAACCACCTGTACAATATACCCACAGACACAAGAACCATACAATTATACAGAGAGTGATCTACCCTAAACATAACTATACACCAATGAAATACAAGTATTTCAACATCTCTTCAGCACATGCTATAACCAGGGCCCCATTCCTCAAAGCGATCGTAGCTCTACAGCAGTCGTAACTCCCATACTTTAACATAGACTTACAACTGTCGTAGCGCTACGATCGCTTTGAGGAACGGGGCCCTGATGTTTCCGACATTCAGCTGTCAATCAGTAAGTATAATAATGATTTATTATACCCTTGATATACCAACAAATTATATTCAAATAAAAGTAACATCAGTTTCAATTTCTACCATGCACAATATAAATTTGAATGTCCTATATGATATTGACAAAAATTCAAATATTCATAAATGAGACAAATCAATTTATGTTTTACATAGTGAATTATGAATGATGACTAGAATATCTTGGCAGTATTTGAAGTCTAACTATTTAATATTCAAGAAGTTGCACTCTATTTAGAAACATTCAATTTTCATCATAACACATTCGTAACAAATAACCCACGTTCAATCTAGTCATTTCATATCAGACTCAGATGCTTTAACAGAATTAAAATAATTAAAACAGTTTACATATCACTACAAACATCCCAGGATTGCATCATAAAACAAAATTAAAACCTTGTGGTAACAGCATCAATGGAAAACTCATATAAAAGTAAAAAATTGTCAACAAAGTCATAAAACATTGGTGAGCAAACAAATGGACAGCTTTCAAACACTGGAATACAGACCTTCTGTTTTCATTCAAACACTTTTACCATTTCACAGCCTTGTCCTCGGACGGACCCTGTGACATACTTTCCTTTACTTAATCGTGAAATAAAGGAGAAAATTAGCATCCTCCAAAACACAAAATTAATATATCTCTGAAACTTCCTAATTACAGGGACACACGTGACCTTCAATTATACCCGTTAGTTATACCAATACCTCCCCTCAAAAAATAATATTAAATACAGAACCAAAAATAAACCTGTCCAGAATTTTACATGGAACGTTTTGAGATGCAGACCAAAAACAATACTGGACATGGGGCGGAGTCACAAAAGTCAGGATGACTTCCAATCCCCATGAAGACTTGACCATGTGTTCACAAACCAATCAATGACAGGCAATCGTGATGCTGAACCTATAAGGGACAGTTCATAATTTATGGCTTTAGGGGTGGGGTGGTGTGGGTGTGTGGGTGTGTGTGTGATGATTGTTATGGAGAAGCACATACAATGTGGCTGACCCCCACACCCACACACACCCAAAAAATTATGTACAAAGTAAGTGACCCCTGCATGTCATGTACAAATCAATTACCCCCTTCCCATATTTTTAAGCATAATTTTTAAATATATTAAAGTACTAAATTGATGCCCCCACTTGTGTAAAAATTTGATGACCCCCTTCTCCCCAGAACAAAATGGGTGCCCCAAAAAAATAAAATAAAATAATAATAAAATAATAATAATAAAAAATATAAAAATCATCATCAACCCCCCCAAAAATCCCAAAACCAAAACAACACAACAACAAAACACACACACACCATAAATTATCAAAAATCAGCGAAGATAACCTTCCACATTTCTTTGATGCTGTATAGCAACTATCATGACTTGTGTTCATAATTTAGCTGACTTTGCTGAAATAGTTTAAACGTGTTATGTCAATGAGCATCATGAAATGGATGGGTCCAAGAATGCATAGCAAATGCGGAAACTGGCAATAGAGGGTAAATATGTGGTTATGTAAACCACCAAGACTAAACTTTAATGAACATTGAATACAAAAAATATTAATAAGTGAAAGAATCTGTAATGAAGAATTGTTATAAATCAAATGAAAAGTGAGAAAAAACCAATAGTACTTAAACACTGATAATCCAAATTGTGCCCTTAGCAAGTAAAAGCTTTTCTGGTGGACCCATATCATCAAGTTAGTGAATACAGAATAGTCATCATACACACTGTTACATTGTACTACAGTGGAAGCATGTGCACTTACAACCCTCAACTAATCATCATCATAAAGATCAGTACCATATTCATCATAAACCCTCAAACAACTGACAAAGGAGGACAATTACCAAAACTATACACAAGTTAAATTTGCTTTCAGAGATTAAGAGGTAGTGAACAAATTAAGTTCAAATGTGTCAATGAAATGAAGATCTTTGCTGATAGTCACTTGGTATTTATACACCCCTTCTATGCTACTGTCTCCTATATACACATAATACACAGACAGTAATTCACAATTTTCATCTTGGTATGGGACTATGGGTTATAGAGGTTAGTCGAATATTTGGGGGGCAGTGGGGTAGTCTAGTGGTTAAAGCGTTCGCTTGTCACGCCAAAGACCCGGGTTCGGTTCCCCACGTGGGTACAATGTGTTAAGCCCATTTCTGGTGTCCCCCGCCGTGATATTGCTGGAATATTGCTAAAAGCAGCGTAAAACTAAACTCACTCACTCACTCTAATATTTGGGACGGGACATTTATTGGAGCTAGTAGGATAATTATGATAATAATTTCAGTACTGGACTTGAGATTTCATGAACTGATGACGTTATATAGTTGCTCCATGTTTTCAAGTATTGTAACAAATACTTACTGTTACAGTGACTAGTACTGTGGTACTAATACCACGAATACCAATAACAAAATACACAAGAATACAAGTATACTGCAATGTGTTCAAGATGGTAGGTATTGCCACATTTTTCTTGGTACCAGTATATTGGGTAGAATATTATGTTAAATTTGGTCACTATTTTATCAATTAACCTAAAATCTGCATAGAATTGCATTCGCAAATTGTTCCCACTGAAATTCCCTGCAGAAGTGACCTTCTGTCACATAGTTATCTCCCCTTTATTGCATTGGATCGGATCAAATCATGAAGTGGGGTTAAGGGACCGTTCATAATTTATGTGTGTGTGTGTGTGTGTGTGTGTGTGTGTGTGTGTGTGTGTGTGTGTGTGTGTGTGTGTGTGTGTGTGTGTGTGTGTGGTGTTTGGTGATGATTTTAAGGGGGGCCACCCATTTTGTTCTGGGGAGCTGGGGTGGGTGGGTGGGTGTTCAGCAATTTTGTACACACATACTAGGTGGGTTCAGCAATTTTGTACATAAAAAATGTTTAAAATTATGCTTAGAAATTATGGGAAGGGGGTGGGGGTGTAATTGTCATTGATTTTGTACATAAATTTATTTTTTTTTGGGTGTGTCATTCACATTGTACATGCTTCTCCATAAACATCATCACCACTCCCCCTAGCCATAAATTATGAATGGTCCCTAATGAAGGAACTTTTCATAAATCACGGCTTCCTGCGCATTTATTTATCCAATGAGGTTTCATATCACCTTAACTTGCACCTAGATTTAGCATCTGGAATGGTAGGGGAGCAAGTATGTAACTTTAGACCTAACAATATAGACCTAGTCAGACTACCAGTTGATTTCACTGGTAAAAAAAATATAGTTTACCAAGCCCTCAAAGTCAATACTATACAAATTGTAAGATACTTGTGTTTAACCCAGTATCCTCAAGTTAATTGTATACAATTTGTATTACATCTAAATGGATACAACATTATGAAATATATGTCATCCCACATTTTTATCACTGCAAAGTTCATTCAAAGGGAGGTAACTCTGAAACCATCACAATACAGCCTCGTCAATATGGACATCTTCCTGACAGGATATATATATATATATATATATATAGGCGGATCCAGAAAGGGGGGTGCAGGGGTGCGCACCCCCCCTTTTGTTCAGAAATTTTATTAAATGACCATTGAAACTCGGGTGAAAATGAAATGTGCACCCTCCCTTTTCTCAATAGTATGCACCCCCCTTTCTAAAAATGCTGTATCCGCCCCTGACATATATTATTGGGGAACTGGTAAGAAGCGACAACAAATATGTTAAAGTTATAGACAAGGTTTGAGTGAAAGTAAGACATATCTAGCAGAAAATCACTCAACAAATCATCACAGTTCAAGTGACCAAGTGTCCTTCGGAAACATATTTGATCATTTTATCTCTTACATGTGCCATGCATGTTAAATGTAGACATGTTTGGAATCACATATTATTTGAAGATCCAAATATGCCATATATTTGTCTTAGTGATACATGTGTTCATTTTTCAGACATTTAAGAAAATATTAAATATACTCAACAAAAGATGTTAAGGAACACCTGACTTTTTCAGATAAACTATCGTCAAAGGAAAAAATCGAGTGTTCTTCTTTTGAGCAGTATATTTATCTTTGTGAAAGTCTTTTACCTTCACCACGTAAACCACATATCTACTCTTGTCTGCTTCTATTTCCACAGTCATAACATCATACACAAATCCCCTTTAAATATTTCACGACATTCATTATGGACATCTTGTGATAAAATCTGACATACATCAACTCATACAGAAATGGAACCTCTTGTTTGCAATATGTGTTTAATTATGTACAATTCATGAGAGAAAACACCAACATCAGTATGCAATTGAGATTTCAACCATTTGTAAAAATTTCTATTTCTGTATAAATTTTCATCACATAAAACTACTCTTTCACTGACTTTCATCACATACTTTCCAACTAAAACAACAATAAAATTTATGGTCGATGAAACAAGTGTTCAAATGATGGGATCTCAGAATACACCATCCATCTACTTACATCAAGAATTCAAATCTTAGATAATTTTAACAGTACTATCAAAATGTTATTTCCTTATAAATTTATGCCATTTATATGTTTGGAAAAAAATCAGTCATCTACTGTTATAATCAATGCCACATACATCAATTACCAGTGGATAAATCTTCATAAAAAGGCTTTAATTGTAAATTCCTCCAAATCCAACTAATGAGACACTTGTATATATTATGAAACAATAAATAACAACATGTTGAAGATTCTCTTGAAGCAAGGATCACAATAAGTGTGTGGCGTTGAGGATTCCACGCTCGGCAAGTCGATCCCGCAGAAGGTTGAACACCTGCAGCTGCTCATGGGGCTTCAGCATCAACACATGCTGCAGCAACTTCTGTGGGTTGGGGATTCTGAAAAACAAGTATTTCTAATAAATATCCAGGCTTTGAATGATAAGTGAGTGACCTGACACGAGAAAACCCAGAAACTACATCCACAGAGTCTCCAAGTGAGTGAGAGTGAGCAGTTTAGGACTGGGACGATTCACCGATGCATTGCGATACAGTTAAGTTTGATACAGCTATCGAATCGTGGACTGGTGTATCGATACAAAACGATACACAACTTTTTTTTAAAACAGTATTATCTTGAACATGTTACAGTACTTATTTAGAGAAAAATACGCAAGTATGATGGAGTTACTTGTTTGTTTATTACAATAGTGTTATTGTCAAACACAAATACCTTGAAATAAATCATTTTAAATCTTGATACCGAGTCATTCTTTCAAGGTGTATGTATCAAGATACTTATCGTATCGCAGGTAAAATATCGCGATATGTATCGTATCGTGACATAGTGTATTGTCCCAGCCCTAGAGCAGTTACACTGACTTCAACAACTGTTAATGAGACACCATATCACACATGAATTCCCTGAGTGAGTGAGAGTGAGTGAGTGAGTGGATGAGTGAGTGAGTTATTGGGAGAGTGAGTGAGTGAGTGAGTGAGTGATGTTCCAGCAATGCCACGTTGAGGGAGTCACCATAAAGAGGCTCATGTGGGGAACACCACAGTGCTTCAGGCACCTCAACCCCATCTTGAATATATAAGCTGTATATTTGGTTTGCATGATGATAAGGTATCTTAATTATTATCAGGCTACTCACACATGCATGTACTACAGACAAGTTCACCTTAGGAACAAGTCAGGCTCTAACAGTAAAGGATCAACATCCACAATAAGAAGGACACCATGTCAAGCACCAGGCCAGGACTACCCACCTGATAAAACTGAAGTGGTATACATGTACAAATGTAGCCATAAGGAACTGACAGTCAAACCGGTCCATGATGCCGCCATGCCCAGGGATTGTGTCACCAAAGTCCTGCACAAACAAATAACACAACAGTAATTACTCAGTAATCAAGGGTTACATGTTCATTTTTATTTTCATTACTCAACAAAAGTGATCTACTCTAGAGTTGGCATCTGTCTAATGGCATACATGGTTGTCCCAATGAAATTATCATTGGTGCTTAAGTTTGCTACTCCCAACTGTAAACGTTTTAAGACTGCTCCTGAACTTTCATAAACAAACAGAGAGAGAGAGATCTTAGCAGGAAAATTTATCATCCAAAACTGTGTTCCACAGGAGATATCGCTTGTGTGAGATCAAACGATATCTCCTAGGAGATATCGTTTTGACAGTATATTTTGTACAATGCCCTGACAATGCTATGACGTCATGTACTTGATTACGTCACAATGCTATGACATCGCAGCACTGCAAGTCTAATGGCAGTACCATGCTCAGAGATGTACATTTTTCATTGAAAATTAATGAAGAGTGATTTTGGATAATAAATAGAATCTCACCCTCGTGTCTTCTGATATCAAATATATCAACACTCGTTGATAAAGTAAAAATATACTCTGCAAGCCTCGGATATTTGTAACTTTATCAACTCGTGTTGATATAATTGATATCAGAAGACACTTGGGTGAGATTCTCTATATATAATGTAACAACATGGAAAACACATAGGTTTGTTTGCTTGTTGTTTAACACAACAGTTAACAATATCTCAGCAATATGAGTCAGTGAGTGGATTTCAGTTTTTTGCTACTTTGAGCAATATTCCAGCAATATCATGATAGGGACACAAGAATTGGGCATTACAAATTATAACCATGTGGGGAATCCAACCTGGGTCTTTGGCGTGACGAGCAAATACTTTAACCACTATGCTACTCCCACACCAAAGCAATATGAAGGTTGCCTGTAAAAAATTGTGTCTGGAAAAGGAAGTCAGTGACAGACATTGAGTGCAGCACTCGTGATGACGAGTTTCATGACACACTATCAACAAAGACACGATCCTGACCACCCAGTCTCTTTGGTCACCTCTTATGATAATCATATGTTGCTCGGGACCTGTTCTTACTCAGAATACCTACAGGGCTTACACTATTTGCACTGAATGCAATATGAATGCTCATTGTAAAATTATCTCAGAAGAAAACAAGAAGACATGGTCATCAATATCCCCCGCCACACGTTTCCTGATTTTAACTCCACCACGACATTCATGTCCTGAAAACACATACCAAATATGGTTTCCCTATCTATAACGGTTTCTGAAAAATATGTCCCCATTGGGAATACCGTGCACTAAGTCAAGAAATGCATGACAAGGGCCATAACTCTGTAACAAATAGTAACACGGTTTTTCGCTTTTGAACTCCATCATGGCATTTGTGTCCTGAAAACACACACCAAATTTGGTTTCCCTATCTGTAACGGTTTCTGAGAAAATCTGTCCCCATCATCTTGGACGGACGGATAAGGACATGTCATTTCTAGATATATCTCTGGATATTGTTACGTTAAAATAAAATCTTAAGCAGCGAGGCACGTTTGTTTGGTTTCCGAATCGGTATGTCTCACCTTGATTTTAAAAGCCCTCTTGAAACCACTTGCGAAGAATCCCCCGAATGGTCCGATGACGGAGGCGAACATGGACAGTGCAACTGAATGGAGGATAAAGGGGTAGATCTTGATGCTGGTCCATGGAATCTGGGCCTGCAAAGGATGCCACAGTCTTAGTTATAACAACTCCAGCTGCAACAACAACAACTACAACTACAGCAGCAGCAGCAAAAACCACCAAGGCATTACACTTCTCTTGCATATGAAAACGAAACATTGACACATGTCGGCCATACCAGGGAAAAGAGTCCTCGGATGGTTTCTGGCAGGTTGTACTCTGTGATCCTGAACACTGGATTTCTCTCACACTCCATCGACAGCGCCCCCTTCACGTCGTCGTAGTGGATGGGGCAAACGAAGAAGTCAAACTGCACAAGTGCATATGACAACTGGAGCAAAGAAACAGAAGTCATGAAACTGATCAAAACACAAGCGGTCCTTAACTCTGACTAATATTTAACTGCATTAATGTGCACTGCAACTGTCTTGACCACAATCTAAACAGCTACAGTGGAGTTTCAATAGTTGTCACATGAGTAACCATGGTCCCACAAATTTAACCTGACATTTCTAGTTGTTGTGTGTTCCTCAAACTTTGTTGAATATTTAACATACAAAATATAATGCTGAATCAGCATTGTGCTATGGCAAATCAGTGTGGTTTGTATTCTAGTTTACAGTGAGTGAGTGAGTTTAGTGTTACGCCGCACTCAGCAATATTCCAGCTATATGGCGGCGGTCTGTAAATAATCGAGCCTGGACCAGACAATCCAGTGATCAACAGCATGAGCATTGATCTGCGCAAGTGGGAACCAATGACATGTGTCAACCAAGTCAGCGAGCCTGACCACCCAATCCCATTAGCCTCTTACGACAAGCATGGGTTAATGAAGACCAATATTTTAACCCGGACCTTCACTGGTATATTCTCGTTTACAGATGTTTCTAGAATTTACACATAGCGTATCATGATCACATGGAGTCATGCCAATACAACGAGCTACACTTGACAGTCACCACTTACGTAATCCTCCAAGTTCATAATGTTTACCCACATAATAAAATACAAAAGTTTGCCAACCTCAATGACAGGTTTTTCAATCATGAAAATGTTACTTGAGTAGGATGGATGATCACTGAATAGTTTATGAGATCAGTTGGCTGTAATGATATAAGCTGTACTCACAAGAATGCCAAATATGATAGTTGCGAGGGCGCCACCTATAAAGCCCTCCCATGTCTTCTTGGGTGACAGTTTAATGAGGGGAGTCTTTCCGAAGAAAAATCCAAACATATAGGCCATGATGTCGTTACAAATGATCATCGATGTGGGAACAAGCAGCCTGTGGAGAAAGGAATACATGCATGAAGTAACATTAACAACGAACTTGTTATTTCGTGTCACTTGCCATCTAGCAATAGTGAGTGAGTGTGTGAGTTAGTTTTACGCCGCTTTCAGCAATATTCCACTAATATCATGTTGGGGACACCAGAAATGGGCTTCACACATTGTACCCATGTTGGGAATTGAACCGGGGTATTTGGTGTGACAAGCGGATGCTTTAGCCACTAGGCTACCCCACCGCACCTGCCACCTAGCAATTCAGCAGCTATAAGCCTGGTAGTGATGTAAATAGTCTAGTGATTGATATTATGGGATGTGAACAATGACACACTCAACCAAGATTCAGAGCTTGACCACCCGATTCAATAAGTTGCCATGTACTTACAGACTTACCGGGTAAGTCATATAGCTTGAATACTTGGTGTTAAACAACAAATAATCAAACTAAGAGTGTGTCCCCTGAAACCAACAGTCCCCATGGGGACAACTCCTGTACGTACCATATAAGGCCCTCAAATATGTTCTGGATGATAAGATGGGACTGGGTCACTACGATCAGCAGCGTCACGTGGGTCCAGCCAAACTGAAACAACAGCCAACACATGACATTATCTTACCTTCATGTACTTGATCATGACGAGGCAGGTCTCAAAGGGTCGGTATTCAGATACTGAGGGTCATGTATTTTACAGGGTCACCCTCTTGAACGAGTTGTAGAAAGGGAATTTGGGGCAAAATAGTGTCCAATCTGAGACAGATCCAGAATGTACAGCAGCACTAATGATTGGGAACAGACATACTATATTTTATCACGTAGGCCTTTACAATGTGACACCTAAATACCATATTTGGACATTCACTTCCACCAATCACTTACCAGCGTGAACTGCTTGAGGTAGTGTTTCTTGACGAGACTGAACACGAAGCCAACAAAGCCGGCGACATACAAGGAGAATGAGATGAATCGATGGTAAGTCACAAACGCACTCAGGAACTCCTGTCAAAACAAAACCAAATAATAACAATCATTTGACTGTCGTAATATCAGCAGTCTGTCATATGCTACTTTCTTGTTAACTGATGTTAAATTAGCTACCTTGGATGACAGTTTGTCAAAAGTTTTCTGATTTGTTTAAAGATGCAATTACGATTTCCTCAAAACTCGGAAACTTACCGTTCTTGAAAGTAGAACTCCAAAGTACTCAATAAGACTCTCGCCATAAAAGAAGTAGTTGGAAGCAAACAGGAAGTACCAGCTGAGTGTTCGAAACCATGGCAGCTCATAGGACTTGTACACCACATAGCCAATGGTGATAATTTCATGGAAGCATTTAATCTGGATTCCCATTACCTGAAACATTGACACGATGCTAGAAATCCTTCACTGGTAAATGCCTTCTACACCTAGTACAGTAGACTACCATCACGGCTACAGAGTGAGTGGAGTGAGTGAGTGGTAGGGTGAGTGAGTGAGTGAGTGAGTGAGTGAGGTCTAAGCCCACTCTCCACATTGTTCCGGTTATATCACCACAGGTCAATAAAGGAAGAAAGTTTGAAGTGATGAACTTCCCCGACATTTACAACTTCAATGAAACTCATGAATATCATGCTGACACTAAATCAGTGGCAACTAGGATTCAAACCCACGATTGTAGGATCCTGATGAATCAGTAACCAATCTTTGTGAGTAAGTATGGTTTTACACGGCTTTTAGCAATATTCCAGCAACATCATAGCGGGGAAACACCAGCAATGGGCTTCACACATTGTGCCCATGTGGGGAGTCGAAACCGAGCCCTCGGCCTGATAAGCGGATTCTGTAACCACCAGGCTACCCACCGCCCCCAGTAACCAATAGGATGCCATGGCCTGTCAGACTGGAGAGACACAACTACTGATCACTACTGACTACCCTACACTTGAATACATGGTTTAATACTGTGGAGGAACAGACATTGCCATTTGCCCAGGAGTAGCTAATATCTCAAGGGACCACTTTTACCCTAGAGTTAGGTAGTTTACACTAGTGTTGGGAATTGGTTAAAATCTTATAATTGATAATTGGTCCATTACAACTGATCAATCATCGAAAATAATTTGTTAGCGCCATTTATCAAATGTTCTTGTTGTCTTTGTAAAAAAATAAAAGAAAACGTAGTAATTTGTTGGGTTTTTCAAATTAAACAAAATCCATTTGCAAATTTTGCATATTTAAAGGATTATTAGTATGTTAGGAACACAGATTTCCTGGTTCTTTAAGATAAATTCAATCATGACTAGGAGCGAGCTTGTGCTTATGAAGCGGAAATTTAATGACACAGACAAAAGCAACCTTGTGAAAAATATTGTTGATGCAAACAAGTGTTCCAAGATTGGTTGCATTTGATTATGAGAAAACATGTTCGATTTGCTTGGTCGTTTAGTCACTGCGACCAATCTTCGATTATTTCAATTAATCGGACCACCACTAGTTTACACAACCTTCTACTCTGAGCTCTGGACTTGTAGTACATGACCAATGACATATGCCAATGCAGTTTGTACTTGTTACATATTGTGTCTAAGACCAACAAAACTGATCAGGTTCAAATAACAACTACCATCGTTTCAAATATTTTGGTAAGACGTGTCTGGGATTGAACCCTAGACTTTCAGCAAATTCCCTATCCACTACACCAGGGAGGTGGTTATTTCTTACAGTGATATTATTCATAAATAAATAAATTATAATTGGCCACTTATATAGAGCCACAGGGACATGCTCTAAGTCCATATAACATGATGGACATTACTACCTCGGATAACCCAAGCTGCCCGTGAGGTGCTAGATGGTTAATAGTCATATGACTTATACCTCTAGGTACCCATTGTCATAGTTTCTGTGTGGAAAGTCCCTGACACTTGGTGGCTAGTTCATATTTTCAGGAACTATGCATGCCCTAGATAGGTAAACTGTGGATAATTGTTTTCTCATTGTGTCATTTATTATTTTTCCTAATTTAAGAATGTATTTTAACATTACATTGGAGGCAGGAGTGAGAAATACTGCACTAAAGCATTTTTAATCCTCTATTTGGTTCTGTTATCAGTGGGGTGATGGGGTAGCCTAGTGGTTAAAGCGTTCACTCATCATGCCAAAGACCCAGGTTCCATTCCACTCATGGGTACAATGTGTGAAGCCCATTTCTGGTGCCCGCGCAGTGATATTGCTGGAATATTGCTAAAAGCAAATAAATAAATTATAATTGGCCACTTATATAGAGCCACAGGGACATGCTCGAAGTGCATATAACATGATGGACATTATTACCCCAAGTAACCCAAGCTGCCTGTGAGGTGCTAGAAGGTTAATAGTCCCATGACTTATACCACGGGTACCCATTGTCATAGTTTCTGTGTGGAAAGTCCTGACACTTGGTGGCTAGTTCATATTTTCAGGAACTATGCATCCCTAGATAGGTAAACTGTGGATAATTGTTTCTCATTGTGTCATTTATTATTTTTCCTAATTTAAGAATGTATTTTAACATTACATTGGAGGCAGGAGTGAGAAATACTGCACTAAAGCATTTTTAATCCTCTATTTGGTTCTGTTATCAGTGGGGTGATGGGGTAGCCTAGTGGTTAAAGCGTTCACTCATCATGCCGAAGACCCAGGTTCCATTCCACTCATGGGTACAATGTGTGAAGCCCATTTCTGGTGCCCGCGCAGTGATATTGCTGGAATATTGCTAAAAGCGGTGTAAAATCCCACTCACTCATGCACTGTTATCAGTGAAGACAGCATTACAAAGCCATAACACTGGTTAATATTGGTTATACCTACAACAACATGAATAGTTTTTTTTTGAGAATTTGTTCTGACATAAGTTTTGTCTTAAGGGCTGAATAATAGCCTCTGAGAGTATCTAGATAAATCTAGAACTGTAAAATATTTTGGACATGATGGAGGTGACCTAAATACAATGAGCAGGCAACACATGTGCATCTGCTCTTGTGGCTTATGGCAGCCATATTGATTTGAAGAGAATATTATCCAGACGCTGAATAAAACCGATCATGTTTATAAATATTAATGTCTCATGAGTCAGTGATGCATATTGATCACACTAAAGTTGTAATCCAGAGAGGGATGACATTGTGTGGATATGCTAGAGTAAAAACACTTGTGTGAGTGAGGGAGCTGGGCTTTCTTCCACTTTGAGTGAGTGGGGAAAGTTTTACGCAGCTTTTAGCAATATTCCGACAATATCACCAGAAATGGGCTTCACACATTGTTCCCATGTGGGGAATCAAACCTGGGTCTGCAGCATGACAAGTCGAATTGTTTAACCAATAGGCCACCCAACCACCCCTTATTCCACTTTGAACAGTATCTCAGTTCCAATATGGCACGTCAGCTTCATGTGGGGTGGTATAGGTCTCATCACTTTGGTGAAACCCTCGAATACTGGAATAGTGCTCACAAATCAACAAAAAGAATCAGAGCAACCCAGGATTTAAACCCACAATCCTATTTACCAAGATGCCTGACGGAAACATTTCTGCATAGTGGATTGCCATCAAGCTAATGTGTAATGAAATCCTGTAGTGATCCAGGATATTTACCACTTCGGTTAAACAAATGAGCGCTGACTAGTGATTAATTGAACTAATCGAAGATTGGTCGCAGTGACTAAATGACCAAGCAATTGATTATGTGTTTTCATAATCGAACACGAACAATTCTGGAACACTTTAGTAGTACTAGAGTGGGGGTTTTGCATCAGATGCGGCTTAGAGGCTTATTTGTAGTACTACTACTTTTTGCATTAACAATATTTTTCACAAGGTTGGTTTGTCAGTTACATTTCATGAACACTACAAGCTGGGTCTAAGTCATGCTGGAATTTATCTTAAAGACACCAAGAAATTTATGTTCCATACATCCTTTAAAAATGTGAAATCCCCCCCCCCCACACACACACACACCAAAGAACAACATGTTTTTTCTTTATGTTTTTGTGCAGTAACAAAAATAACCAGGAAAATTTCATATGTTTGATGATTGATCGGTTGTAATGAAGCAATCATCAATTATGAGATTTTAACCTATTCCCAACACTAGTGTTGACAAAACTAAAGAATCATTATCAGTGCTAATCCAGGATTGTAACCAAAATAATAGGATTATCACATGTGCAAAAAGTCAGGGTGTCGGTGTAGTTGTAGATGGCAGTGGGCCAGCAGACAATACAGTAAAATATGTTTACAACGAACATGATAATAATGAACTGATGGATATACAGTCAGGCCGCGGTAATCCGGTCCTCGTTAATCCGAATCCCCCGACTTCCGAACGCTACTCACCGGGCACCAAATCATCTCCCTATATATTGTATATAATTGACACCTCGTTAGTCCGATGATTCAGCTTCCGCCTCCGAACGCTGGTCAGTCGGAACGGATTGGACTAATTAAGTTGTTAACAGCTGCGTTAATCCGAACGATTGAAGTTGATCACCGCTGCTGACTGGTCCGCAAAGTGACACGTTGTTTGTTTAGCGACTTAGCGACTCATCCCTTTGATCCCTTTATCATAAGTGATAGGGAAATTTCGAACGAACATGCTGTTTGGGAAAGACTTCAATCCAGAAATATATGCTCGGTGCAATTAAAATTATAAACTATTTTAGCAGTGTTATTGAAAGCGATTCGGACACATACTTCGACAGCGGGTCCACAATAGCATTGTCAAAAGAGCAAAATAACGATGTAAATTGAATAAACTAATGAATAAAATCCATAATTTCACGTACAGGTAGCGATTTCTTGCTTAATATGTTCAAAATAGCATTATTTTACCCAAAACTTTCGTCTAAATCTAAAAGTTTTCGTTTACTTAAGTCCCATGTTCTGATTTTGACCAATCACATGATTATATAGCAGACTGTAGCGAAAGCGTCATTAGAAACCAATGTTTATCCAATAAAATCGCTTCTTACAACTGTGAAAATACTCTCGGCAAGGGTTCAGTGATGTTGTTGATGTTCAGAGCTTCGAGCGATACCGACATCAAGCGATTAAGCCTCCCATGTTATTCATCTGGCGGCAAGCGAGGTATTTTCCGTTATGTCATGTTACCGGCGGAAAGCCACAGATATCGAGGAAATAGGGCGACCATACATATTATTTAAGAAATCTTTTATAATAATTTTCTGATGGCGTAAAATGAAAATATAAAAGAAAAGGCACGGGCATGTTATGACATGTCTCAAATGGAAAAAAATCGCCATAGATTTTTTTTAATAACATTATAAAAATAAACTTCATATTTATCAACAGTAGGATTAGATCTTTTAAATGGTGTATGGGATGTAGTAGCAATAACGTTTTACAAGCTTATAATTTCCTTCATAAACATATAGGCTTCATCTCTGACCTCAGAGTCTCGATAGTAAGGAAAGATATCAAGGGGAAGTAACTCGGTGCATATACTGTGGTTTCAGCAGTACGAACGTTTCACTATCCAAACGTTTTTTTTAAAAAACCAAAGTGTTCGTATTAACGAGGTCTGACTGTAATAAAAAAATAATTGACCACTTACTATATATATTTAGTCGAAATGCATGTAATGAAACTATGAGTGGGTGAGTGAGTGTGGTTTTATGCCGCTTTTAGCAACAATCCAGCAATATCACGGCGGGGGACACCAGAAATGGGCTTCACACATTGTACCCAGGTGGGGAATCGAACCCGGGTCTTTGGCGTGACGAGCCAACGCTTTAACCACTGGGCTACCCCACCGCCCAAATGAAACTATGATAATAATAATAATAGTGCTCCATTTGAGTTTGTTACTACAAGAGGGATGACTGTTATGTTGAAGATGGCTATTAGGTTGATTTAGAAATTGCACAATATAACAGGGCTCGATTTAGTGCTTAGTTACTTGCACTGGTGCAGTCCAATATTACAAAGTGCAACCTAGATATTAGTCTAACTTGCACCAGGTGCAACTCAATTTCTAAATGGGTAAACTCTGAATAATACATCTAAATAATTCAATAGCATATTTCTGACATTACATATTGCAATAAAAGCAGTGGAATTGGCTGGTGCAACTTGCGTTTTATCTTAGGTTGCACCTGGTGCAAGTAGGTTAACATTTCTTAAATCGAGCCCTGAATATATCTTAACACCTGATGCATGTCATAATGAGCAAAATTGTGATCACCATAGTTACATTCTAAACTGCAAACATGTCTTGTTTTGGTGTAATCAAGAAGCTTGGAGTATTTCACAATCAAATAATAAATCTTGATTGTAAAAAGAAGAGCTTAGTATTTGATATTTACTTCAGCTGTATCAACCCGCATGAAGCTTATTGGCAATATAGAATTCTCTATATATTCAATACTACTGCTACACTGAGTTCTAATTTTGGCACCCATGAAGACCCGGGTTAGAATTGGTTTTCCGTAAGAAGCAACTAACAGGCTCGCTGACTTGGTTGACACATGTCACCGTATCCCAGTTGCGTAGATCGATGCTCATGCTGTTGGTCACAGGATTGTCTGGTTCAGATTTGAGTATTTACAGATCGACGCAATACAGCTGGAATATTGCTGAGTGCGGCGTAAAACTAAACTCCCTCACTCACTCTAATATTGGCCACTCCCTTCAAGTCATCTGCAAGTAATACCTACCAAGAGAACCAGTGCGAGAGGTCCAAGGTAGATGATGAATGCAAATGCGAAGATCATCAACCATGTGAATATACCTCGTATCACCCAGTTCCTCCACCTGAAACACAAACATGGCCAACTTATTCAAAAAGTCTGATAGCCAGCTGTCAAGTTGCTTCAAACCTTTCAGAGAACAAACCACATAACATTCCCTGTCCATCAAGCAGCCATACATATAATATGACCCCCTGTAATAACTTCAAGTTTTAAGTACTAAATTAAGCTGCACAAACATTCTACTTCTGGGATTCAGGAAGGATTCAGGGTTTTATGCAACTCACAAATGTGTGTCCAGTACGCACAAATGTAGAGAATGGACACAGAAAAACAATTCACTGCATCCTGAGGGATGCACAATATTATTCATTGTACCCACAACACATGCCTTTGCTAAGTGTTTGGTTGTTTCTTTCAGAGCAGTTACATGCATCATTTCACCCATCAGTCCATATAATCAATGATTCATTCCAGGCTCTAAACAAATTATCAACACATCCAGTTCTCTACACTGTTACTTCACAGGACCCTCTTAGTGCCTGCATGGACCCTTAAAACTAATAATTGGGTGAGGTGAGGTGAAATTGGGTTTAACGTTGTGCTTGAGAATATTTCGCTCATATGACGACGTGCATGCGTGTGTATGTGTATGTGCGGCTGCTTGTACTAGCCCAGGCTTAAGCTGGTATTAGTGCTAGCTCACTGAGATACCATGCCGCAGTGAAGCATGAATACCCCACACAGACACATTATACTGACTCTGAGCCGACCAGTCCTTGTTGTACCCATTAATGCCGGGCGCCAGGCAGGGACCAACAAGTACCATATTTTAGCGTCTTTTGGTATGACGCGGTCGGGGATCGAACCCACGACCTTCCGCTCTCGGGCAGGCCGCTCTAACCACTACACCACGGAGGCGGTTAATAATAATTGGGGCTCACCAGGACACCAATATTTGTGAGTCGAGGAAAAAACCTGGGTCATTTAAATTGTTAGATGTTTTCCACTTTGAGGACACCCAGCATGAATGATGACAGACCCAGAACCATATTTCGACCAAATAAAGGAGTTTCTGTTGTTTCAAGGGATGCAACTCCACGGCAAAATAAGACAGGCCCTATTCTGGTTGGGAAAAACTGTTTGGGGCATTCTTTCTGACCACATATTGTACACGGTATCTTCATGTAGTCTGTCACCTTGGAGTGAGATCTTTGAGAGCTGAATCGAGAGCTTCGGTTGTCTTGTCAGAAGCTTGGGCTAGTTTATCTCCAGACAGATCCGGCGGCAAGGCCTCATCCTCCTCTTCCTCCCGCTTAGCAGCATCGGACGTGGCCTGGTGAATGTAAACCATTGACATTTAGTGAGTGAGTTTAGGTTTATGCCGCTTTTAACAATATTCCAGCAATATCACGGTGGGGGACACCAGAAATGGGCTTCACACATTGTACCCATGTGGGGAATCGAACCCGGGTCTTCAGCGTGATGAGCAAACCATTGACATTTAGTGAAATTGTATTAGGAAGAGATCAGAAAGAGTATCACTGACAGAATGACGCATCATCGCACATGAAAGTGCTTTCATGACAACATGGTACAAGATTAATGAGGACTGCCATGATGCATGCCTCCAGAAACTATTTCAGTTACCAGCCAGCTGCATCTGGATGTCTTACTTCAGGCATTAATTCAGGATGTCTTAATATGGTTATTTCTTGTTTTATCAGGATTACAAACTGATGTGGGTTTTATGTTGTCTCAAAAGCGGTAGAATTTCTACACTGCCTTTATGTTTATCACAAACAAGTCTTTTGTACACCTTTATCAGGTGAAAGACCCAGTCTCCAGGAATAGTAAGTTGTGAGGAAAGCATGACATAACAGCAGCCATATCTGATATACAGCAGGATATTACATAAGCACTATAAAATGTTCAATGAAAGCTGCCTGATCTGTTGAACACACTGAATACAGGCTATATCATGAAGGTTAAAACCTGCATGACATGGCCATATCTTTTATCAATTCACAGGAAAGAGTTATAATAATGACAAATGAATGTCAGTTTTGGGCCTTGACTGAACAAAAAAACAAGTATGACACAAAAAGGTTAGGGAAAATAATGTTGGACGACAAGTGAAGACATTATGTTTCCACCCTGTGAAATTTAATGCATTGACTAGAAGATAAAACAACAAATAGATTGCAATGATCACGTGTTTACAAACTCAAACTAGCAAAACAAGATTTACTTTTTAAGTTTATAAACTTAACACTTGTAATCACAGAGATAACTTTGGCCTTCACAAGCAACGTGACTGTCAGTGGCCTTCACAAGCAACGTGACTGTCAGGTCAGTTCCAGATACCCTTAGAAGAACGTGTAGTTTCTGAAATGATCATATTTTACAGAAAACAGTTCCTAATTCTGTTAACAAAATATAATAAAAAGAAGCCCTGAGACTTTCTGGATGTTCAGAAACTGTGGTAATCTAGCCTTCGCCACATATTCTAGACTTGTATGGATTGTGCTGGGTATATTTAATTCAGGTTTTCTATGACAACATAAGATACCTCCAGCTCTTTCGCTTCTGTTATCTTGGTTGTGCAGACGGCAGCACAGAATCAGAGGTTATTCAAAACAGGATCATTGTTTGAAGTTGTTTTAATCTTTATAGCTGGACTTGGCAAAGATTCCAGCTATATGACTCCAGTGAGTGAGTGAGTGAGCGAGTGAGTTTAGTTTTACGCCGCTTTTAGCAAGTGAGGAGGTGAGTGAGTGAGTGAGTGGTGAGGGAGTGAGTGTGTGAGAAAGTGAGTGAGCGAGCGGTGGTGAGGAGTGAGTGAGTGAGGAGTGAGTGAGTGAGTGGAGTGAGTGAGTGAGCGAGGTGAGTGAGGTGGTGAGGTGAGTGAGTGAGTGAGAGAGAAGGAAAGGGAGTGAAGGTGGTGAGTGAGCGAGCAAGTGGAGGTGAGTGAGTGAGTGAGAGTGGAGTGAGTGAGTGGTGAGTGAGTGAGTGAGTGAGTGGTGAGTGAGTGGAGTGAGTGGAGTGAGTGGTGAGTGCATATTCCAGCAATATCACGGCGGGGGACACCAGAAATGAGCTTCACACATTGTACCCATGTGGGGAATCGAACCTGGATCTTCAGTGTGACGAGCAAACGCTTTAACCACTAGGCTACCCCACCGCCCCTATTTGACCCAGATGAAACAATCAAGTGATTGAAATGTAACAACACTGGAGTGTGACGACATACTAGCAAAACCTCAATAGGTGTGACCATGTGATCCGTTACGTCAACCTTGGTCTAACATAGCTAATTAGAAGAGAGTTGTACAGCTAAAAATAACATATATGTATATATAATCATTTATTCATTACCATGCTTACCATCACACAATATTTCTACCTGATGGCTGTGATATCATAATTTGCTAGTAAAACAAACATTTGAAACTATGGTAGAAAAATCCATTTTGCTGAAAGGATGGAAACACTTTTGAAGACAGATAGTAATTCTTCTGAACTGCAATTCCCCAGTAGAAGATATTTTGAGATGAATCTTTTTTTATTTTAAATTTGTTCTTAAGTGATTAAACATGTCTTAGTCACCACATTGCAACAAATAAAATGTATCGGGAAAGTCTGCCCTTATTCTCATTCAGATAACTCATTCCCTGATAAACTAGAAAAAGAATTTTTCATTTCTTTTTTTTATCTGAGGATCAGAACTTGATTCCAGCTGTAAGAAGCTCACTGGTCATGCTATCACGAGATTATCCAGATTTAAGGCGGAGTCACCAAGGTCTGGCGACTCTCACAGCTCCATGCACTGACACTGCCTGGATCAGCTCAACATCCTCCCACAGCCTCCATGTCGATAGTGATTCGTTACAGTGCATTCAGGATGTCCCCTTATCAGCAGGATGATGACAATTGATCCTGTGTGTCTGTCACAGTGTTGCTGACAGGGGACAACAGGTGCTTGATTATACTGGCTATAGCTCATTCCATCAGGGAATGACTTCAAATAAGGAAATATGTACTCAGAACCTGTTTCTGTTTGGAAGTATGGGGTACTGGGGACCTGTTCTTCCCTGGAATTCTCACAAGGAGACAAGCATGGGGTGGGGACTGGGACCTGTTCTGTTCTTCCCTGGAATTCTCACAAGGAGACAAGCATGGGGTACTGGGGACCTGTTCTTCCCTGGAATTCCCACAAGGAGACAAGCATGGGGTACTGGGACCTGTTCTTCCCTGGAATTCCCACAAGGAGACAAGCATGGGGTACAGGGACCTGTTCTTCCCTGGAATTCCCACAAGGAGACAAGCATGGGGTACAGGGGACCTGTTCTTCCCTGGAATTCCCACAAGGGAGACAAGCATGGGGTACAAAGGGGACCTGGTTCTTCCCTGGAATTCCCCACAAGGAGACAAGCATGGGGTACAAAGGAGGAATGGGCCATAATCCAGAACATTTTAAATTTGTTCTTAAGTGATTAAACATGTCTTAGTCACCACATTGCAACAAATAAAATGTATCGGGAAAGTCTGCCCTTATTCTCATTCAGATAACTCATTCCCTGATAAACTAGAAAAAGAATTTTTCATTTCTTTTTTTTATCTGAGGATCAGAACTTGATTCCAGCTGTAAGAAGCTCACTGGTCATGCTATCACGAGATTATCCAGATTTAAGGCGGAGTCACCAAGGTCTGGCGACTCTCACAGCTCCATGCACTGACACTGCCTGGATCAGCTCAACATCCTCCTACAGCCTCCATGTCGATAGTGATTCCGTTACAGTGCATTCAGGATGTCCCCTTATCAGCAGGATGATGACAATTGATCCTGTGTGTCTGTCACAGTGTTGCTGACAGGGGACAACAGGTGCTTGATTATACTGGCTATAGCTCATTCCATCAGGGAATGACTTCAAATAAGGAAATATGTACTCAGAACCTGTTTCTGTTTGGAAGTATGGGGTACTGGGGACCTGTTCTTCCCTGGAATTCTCACAAGGAGACAAGCATGGGGTACTGGGGACCTGTTCTTCCCTGGAATTCTCACAAGGAGACAAGCATGGGGTACTGGGGACCTGTTCTTCCCTGGAATTCTCACAAGGAGACAAGCATGGGGTACAGGGGACCTGTTCTTCCCTGGAATTCCCACAAGGAGACAAGCATGGGGTACTGGGACCTGTTCTTCCCTGGAATTCCCACAAGGAGACAAGCATGGGGTACAGGGACCTGTTCTTCCCTGGAATTCCCACAAGGAGACAAGCATGGGGTACAGGGGACCTGTTCTTCCCTGGAATTCCCACAAGGAGACAAGCATGGGGTACAAAGGAAGCTATGGGCCATTGATACAACTCCGTGCAAAAGACGACTAGAATCTGTACCTCACTGAGGAAGCATAATCCAGAACATAACATGTTACATTTGACTACAATCGCATTGTGTTTTAACAAATATATATGTATAAACCCTTTGATGCTGGTTCCAGCTTTAATGCAACTAGTTTAAAACTCCAATTTATTTTTGCCTTATTTATAATACTATTAACCAAATTTAATGAACACTGCTTATTTTTACCAACAGTTGGTTGGCTTGTGGTTTAACACCGTACTCAGCAATATTCCAGCAATATGGCACCGGTCTGTAAATAATCGAATCTGGACCAGACAAACCAGTGGTCAACATCATGACCATCGATCTACGCAGTTCGGATACGATGTGTCATCCAAGTCAGCGAGCCTGACCACCAGATACCCAAAAATATATATACCCTGGACCACTTCATGGCTGAGTGAATATGGTGTTACGCCCCTCTGGTGGGGACACCAGAAATGGGCTTTACACACTGTACCCATGTGGGGAATCAAACCCAGGCCTTCGGCGTGACGGGTGAACGCTTTAACCACAAGGCTACCCCACCGCACCTTCATGGCTAAGATAATAAGACAATGATAATTACAAATACAAATGCAACCACAAATACTGCTCGGCACATGTAATGTATGGCCGCAATACCACTTAGGCGAGTCAAATAATGGGTTTAAACAACGTCAGCCATGTGGTGTCCAACTATCATTCCTACAACTACACGCAGCTGTGTTATACATGTGTACATTGTACAGGTGGACTTATTATAGGATTATATATCTCCCATATTCATTTCATTTCATATTTTATTGAAGATTTCATTGACTGCATACTTGAATTCCATGTGAACTGATTGGCAGATGTCTGTATATAAAACACCTCCTCACATACAGTAAATACAAGTACTGTTGTAAATTATCATGTCAAGTGACGTTTAATCACAAATGTCACAGTTTA